GAAGTCGTGTGTCAGCTGTTCTTTGTGTCCTGAATGCAAACACAGGGCTGTACAAACAAATAAAAACATTGATGCGAAATCTTGTTTAAAAATGAGCCAAAGCCATTTTGTGACTTGGTTTAAACTCCTAGTGAATAACCCGACCTGAACACTATTAATCATGAGAGGGAATGGCTGCAGAACACATACAGCTACTGTCAAAGTAAACTAACTTGTATGAGTCACCAGATATTATTGTGACTGTTGTTGCCTTCCTATTTAAAGCAGTGAAAGATGAAAGTGCTCAACAAGCAGACTCACAATACTTTTTATCTTTGCGCTTCAGTGAAGTGACTGAAGGGAGTTGGGTTGCATCAGGAATAGCACGCCCACCTGCTGAGGTTCACATTCAAACAAAAAAAAAAAAAAAAAAAAAAAAAGAACATTTGCTGCCTTCTTTCTCTTGTTCGTAGGTTTTCCAGCACTCTCTGAGGTGTTATGTTTGTAGCTCAGTCACTTGGAGAAGCTGAGACACCAAATAAAGTCCCACCTGTGTTTATTAAGGAGTTGCTTGCAATTAGTTGAAATCTTACACAACTATTGAAGAAATGCATAAAAAGATGCAACACCTCTCAACCTTTGAATAATAAAACGCATCAAAGCCTCTCATTTTGACATTTATTTCTCCTCCTAATCTCTTATGAGACTTAACAACAGGGAAAAAAGAGCCACCACAAAACTTCATGCGACTCTAGTGAGGATAATCTTGGTAAATCAAAAACATCTCAGCGCTTGCATTAGCCCCCTTCATGTGAAGGCCACTGGAAAGATTAGACATCTGACGCTCAGGGGCTGAGTGATTTGGAAGATGTGTCAAGGTTAAGGTCAAGATTTGCACTCATGCTCAGAAATCATGCAACTGTCCAGCCTGGGAGAGGTTGAAAGCAGATGTAAAAACAAACAAACAAAATGATTGACTATGAAGGAAAGGTTTTATGATGCTGAGGAGCTTATGGAGAACTTTCATCCTGCAAAAACAACTAAAGGTTAGAGATTCAAGAAACGGCCGTAAAAATCTATTAACAAACCCAGATGTGATGCATTATGAACTAAAGCTGCATTGTGTATGGAAGATGTGCATGTTTGGTTTTTGTGTGACCTTTAAATTTGTGTTATTTATACCTTTGACTGTAAAGAAGCATCAGGAAGGACAAACCTTCATGAGTTTGGTTGCTTTCTGAATTTCCCTTTGATTAACTGCCATCCATCCATCCATCCATCCATTTTTGACCACTTATCTGGGGTCAGGTTGTGGTGGCAGCAGCCTACGCAGAGAGGCCCAGACTTCCCCTCTAACTAGCCTCTTGGGCCAGCTCCTCCAGCGTGTCCTGGGTCTTCCTTTGGGTCTTCTCCTGGTTGGACGTTCCTTTACAACCTCACCAGGGAGGCTTCCAGGAGGCATCCTGACCAGATGCCCGAGCCACCTCAAGTGGCTCCTCTCGATGTGGAGAAGCAGCAGATCTACTCCGAGCCCCCCCTTTGGATGACCGAGCTTCTCATCCTATCTCTAAGGGAGATCCCAGACACCCTGCGGAGAAAACTCGTTTCGGCCGCTTGTGTCTGTGATCTCATTCTTTCGGTTACTACCCAAATAGGTCATAGGTGAGGGTAGGAACGTAGATCGACTGGAAAATCAAGAGCTTTACTTAATTATTTGCCTTTTTATAAAATGGAATGTTTCTATTTTTCATATGCAAGTCGAACTTTGAGTATCATTGAAATAAATATTCTAGCCTCCAAAATGCAAGATCTAAATCGCTTCCTGACTTTAAAGTTACGATCACTCCATTTCCTCTCTTTTCTTAATGCACCTGAGAGTGAAACTGGTGCAACATTTCAACAATTTTTCATCATTTGCAACATTAATAATAAATGATGGTAAAATGGTCAAAAACCAGTTGTATAGTTTACAGCGCGTTGTCACGGTTGGAGACGTTTAGTACCCAAATGTGCAGAAACCCAGGATGACACGAGGCTGGGAAGATGTAAAGTAAAATCCTTTATTTTAGGAGTAACCCAAAAAAACAAAAGTAATCCAAAAGGCTGGGAGCCAACACTCCAAATATCCAGATAAAGATCTGGAGATCCAAAAATACAAGAGGCACGAGAAGACTAGATCCAAGCACTAGAGGCACGAGAAGACTAGATCCAAGCACTAGAGGCACGAGAAGACTAGATCCAAGCACTAGAGGCACGAGAAGACTAGATCCAAGCACTAGAGGCACGAGAAGACTAGATCCAAGCACTAGAGGCACGAGAAGACTAGATCCAAGCACTAGAGGCACGAGAAGACTAGATCCAAGCACTAGAGGCACGAGAAGACTAGATCCAAGCACTAGAGGCACGAGAAGACTAGATCCAAGCACTAGAGGCACGAGAAGACTAGATCCAAGCACTAGAGGCACGAGAAGACTAGATCCAAGCACTAGAGGCACGAGAACACTTGACAGAACTACAACAAACAGTGGACCGACACCAAACAGAGACAAGACAGGGCTTAAATACACAGGGAGGATGAGAGGGAGATGAGCTGCAGGTGTGTGGGGTGTGGGAGGAGGACCAGGTGAAGGCAATGACTAATCAGGGGAGAAACTAACTTGACCTAAGAATAAAACCTAATACATAAGAGCAGGAAACATAACTACAACTCAATGGGAGGTGGGAGAAAAATAATAAACACTGATGGGAAAAAAAAAACACACTAAATGATGAAAGGCTGTAACTAAAGGAAATGACCTGAGAAACCTAGAGGGCTGGAGATCTAGGGGCAAATGGGGAAAACCAGAAGACACACGAGGAAGACGCAGGCATGACACATGAGGGCGCTAGGACACAGAAGGGAATCTAGAGAGGATGGAGAAACAACAGGAGGCACATGAAGGAAGGGGCAGACGCAGACCATGACATGTGTGTGTTCTGTTTGGCTCAGATGTTGATCATGTTTGTGTTAATCAATACAATCAGTGATAAAATACACAATAAGTGACTGAGTAAGAAAAGGCTCTGATTTCAAAGTGCTGCTGACAATGCTATGAGAGGAGCGCCTTTAACTAGTATGTTTATGTTTATGTTTATGTATTTAGCAGACACTTTTGTCCAACTATTTTTTTTGTCTAGCTATTAGAATATGATTGTGAGCATTGGCCATTCATGAGACACGTGCATCTTAATCATCTTAATCACAGCTGATTCTTTTTTGACCAAGTTCACTCGTTTAATTTATTTAATGCATTCAGCATTTGGTGTATTGTGCTTAATGTTTAACAAACTAAAATGTCAGAAAGACGGCCCGCTGTTGTTGCAAGAGTCGAGTCCATATGTAAGTTTTGCTTTACACCTTTCACCTCAGCATGGAGAATTTTAAGATGACTTGGGGGATAAAATTTTGCACATATGTATCAGAGGTTCTTACATTTAACACCTGGTAAATACATGTACACTTCTGTTTAAGTGAGAAGCACCAGTTGGGGTTAAATAACTTGCTGCAGCTGAAAGATAACGGCCCATGTAGTAATTATCCAATAGGAGGCTCGTACCTGTTTGCTTAGTTAAATCCAGGTGGTGACGTTTTTGGCCGTGCAAAAGTGTATTAGTGCAAAATGTGAAGTTTTTATGTGGAAAAAGAAAAGTTGTAACTGAGATTTTCTGAATTGTGATGACCTGAAATACTACAGAAAAAAAGAAAAAGTGGATCATAAATGGTTTAATAGTTTTCTTTTTAGGGCTCTTTATTTTTCTACAGTTTTTTAGTTTATGCTCTTTAAATGGTTTTCTCACCATTTTAACTTTGACATGTGTTATTTTTTCTATCCCTCTGGAGTCCTTCCTCATTAAAATAAAATTAGTTTGAAATAGAGACTAAGGTCCTTGTGCACTACTGTCACAAATTCACATCAAACCACTTCTGGCTTCAAAGCGTCCAGATTAAGATTAGTACCTTCTCTACAAACCTGCCATGTCCTATACGTGTCTACTGCTCTACGGTGGCAGGTCTACAGGTGGAAAAGGCCAATTGAGTTTCTTAAAAACTGTTATATTGAAAAACAAATAAACAATAGAAAAAATCAATTGTTTTAATGATGTTAAATTATACCATTTGTAAACACTAGTTTATTTCATGTGTTAGAAATTGAGGCCCTGTCCACACGTAGCCGGGGATCTGCCAAAACGTAGATATTTTTCTACGTTTTGGCCTGTCATCCACACGAAAACGGAGTTTTTCACACGAAAACGGATCTTTTTAAAAACTCCGGCCAAAGTGAAGATCTGCGTTTTCTCCGTTTTGGGTGTCTGCGTGTGGACGGACAAAACCGGAGTTTTAAGGTCCGCAACGTCACTTTCCGCGACAAAAAATGCTGACATCACGTGTGCGACCTGTGTTTACACTAGCAGACTGCATGGATGCCCTCAGAGCTGCGCTCGCTTTATCAATTGTCCAAGCGCTTTTTGCTTGTTTGTTTTTGCAAGCGGAATTACTGCTCCTTGCGGAAGACCACAGACGAAGGACGAGGTTAAGAACGGGGGAAGTACTGCCGCCTACAGGTCTGGCATGTCCTTAACAACGTATTTATCCGGGTACGTGTGGACAGAGTTTCTTTTTAAAACGAGGTGGTGTGGATGCAAGTTTTTGGAGGGGCGGATATTTGTTTAAAAAAAAACAGCTACGTGTGGACTAGGCCTAAAGGGTTCAAGCACATGATCAAACAGATAGAGGTGTAACTGTTCTGACATCAGCTGAATCTGTACATCATGACTTTAAGGAATTTAGTTAATCTTTTCTTAATAGAAACTTGAAGTCAGTAATCGCACTTTAGTTTATGTTCATACACAAATAGAAAATAACAAAGGAGAAAATCTGCTCAATACCATAAAGATACTGGAAGATAATGACACTGCAGGCTGGTGTTGCACTGGTGTCAGGGAGGTGGACTCCTGCCAGCACATTCTTGAGACCAGACGTTATATCTGCTGTCCCCTCACCACCAGCCTCATATAAAAAGCCATCCATTGTCTGCAGCAGTGACTGACTCTTCACACGTCTGCACACGTCCAATTTACAGGTAAAATGTCTTTTTCATGTATTAAAGGCTTTCATGATTAGATTTATAACTTTTATCATCACATATATTTAAACCTTAAAATTTGCCTTTTTTATTCCATTTTTCATAATTGATTAAAAATATCTAGATTAGTTACTAGAAGTACATTTTCCTCCTAACTGGTACAAATAAAATGACTAATTTTATTAATTTATCTATTGAGAGAATCTGGTCTGTGCGAAAGCTGTTTAGATCGTAGTGATTGTGCCTTCATCCCTGTCTTGATGACGCTAATCTACACTAGAACGGTTTCTAAAGGACGTTTTGCTCTCACACACAGCCAGTAGGTCAGATCAAACTGCAGCTCAACTCTAAAATCTCCTTCCATGCTTTTGTTTCTCCCAGGCATTTGATTTTATGAGCACAAGTCAAGCCAGGTAGATTCCTCCTGTTCACACCTTTAAAAAACTGTGTTTCTCATAAATATGCTAAACCTTTCCTACCCTGAGTGGTTCCATGTGTCCTTGTTTGCTGTTTCAGGAGCTCCAGAGAAGCAGAGCGATGAATCCCAAAGGGGATAAGGTGAGCCGGCTATGTTCCACCGTGTTAATCCTCCATGCATGGACAGAGGACACATTGTCCTCACAGACATGACAAAGATGTGACCACGGCTATCTGTCAGATTTGATATCAGCATCCCTGAGAGCTTTCCACTTCACTTCATCCTATTAATAAAGCATTATCTTTTCATGGGCAGCCATTACATCATAACTGTACATGGAGCCTTTGCGCTGTTCATCTTATCAGGATTTAATTTGATATTAAACTGCCAAATGATTATTTTTGAGTATCTCAGTGATTACTTGGTAATATCTGAATCTGTTTTGTTGTGAATTTGAATTGACAAGTTCTATTTTCCACAGCCGAAGTCGAAGATTTCGGCTTCCCGCAAGCTCTCCCTCAAAGTAAGTTACTGCCGTGCCTTTTATGCTTGACAAACCGGCAGAATCCTTCAGCTTTGATGTCTCACCGGACACGAAGCCATCCTGCAGTCTGTCCCATTGATGCTTGCTGAGATCATAATACTTCAGATCCCAGTTGGAGACGTTTCATCATGCAGCTCTGGCTATAATTGACTGATGTTTGTTGTGTCTGATCAGATGTTGCTCCTCCAAAGAGCATGCGAGGATCTGGAGAAGGAGAGACAGGAGCGGGAGGAGGAGAAAGCGCGTTATTTGGGGGAAAAGTTGCCCCCACTGCAGCTGTCTGGTTTATCACTGGATGAGCTACAAGTAAGGCCTGGTAAAGACAAATAAAACCGTCAAATTCACAAACTAAATCGGTGTGTTTGAACCGTCTCTTTTAGAAATTGTGCAAACAGCTTCATGAAAAAATTGACATTGTGGACGAAGAGCGGTACGACTGTGAACATAAAGTGAACAAACACAACAAAGATGTAAGTTTCCTTTGAGCAGATCCAACTTGTCTCCTGACGAATCCGTGTTTGCGGATCTTTCAGAAAAGATCTTGAAATCCTGATGTTGTCCGGTGTTGCTTTAGATCCACGAGCTGAAACTGAAAGTGCAGGACCTTGGAGGAAAGTTCAAAAAGCCCGCCCTGAGGAAGGTGAGGGTGTCAGCAGATGAGATGATGAGGGCTCTCCTGGGCTCCAAACACAAGGGCTCAATGGACCTCCGAGCTAATCTGAAGTCTGTGAAGAAGGAGGACGTCAAACAAGACAAGGTAGAGCCAACTGTCTTATTAGGTTAAATCTGTTAAAACGGTTTCATACATTAAAACTAATTATGGTTGATGTCGTTTTAGGTGCTCACCTCTGAGGTGGGAGACTGGCGTAAGAACGTGGAGGCCATGTCAGGCATGGAAGGCCGCAAGAAGATGTTTGATACAGGCGGCGGAGCGCAGTGAGTCACTGCAGGCCAAAAATAAAAAATAAAAAATCTAAATGCAGATAAATATTCTCTATTCATAATAAATCAAAAACATGGATTATTGATCTGAAGGCCAACAGTTTTATTTACAGTGCAGTGACTTGCAGCACTCAAGAGTGTTTTTAACATTTCCTTTTGTTTTAAGACAAGCCAAATGAACCAGAAATAAAAGTCTGTTTCTATTTTTCCTGATGCTCTATATCTGTTGTTGACTCCATCGTGTTTCACTCCAGCAGCACCTGGTGGTGATTTTAAAGACAAGATGAAAAAGGGGAGGGGAGGGGGAACAACAGGTGCTGCTTACACGTTTTACACCTCACGATGTTTAAAAAGATTCGTCTTTGTGTCAAGTTTCCTAAAATCATCTAAAAACGCAAATTAAATTAGATTAAGTGTAAAAAAAATAGTTTAGACTGTAAGAGTTGTAACTTGTAGTCCACAAACCAGAAACAGATTATTTTAATGAGCCCTGGCGGGTTCAGCAGGAGCTTCAGTTCTTCATTCCACTGCTTCTTCTGTTGACCGGCTGCAACACCCAGCCTGTTATTTGAAGCACGACCGTAACACTAACAATAGCTTTAAGTTATCCGCAGAGAGAACTTCAGATGAGGAATCTCATGCTTTTATAGGTCGCCCACGGGAAAAAGGAAATACAGCTGACAGATTTTTCAGGAAAAAAATCCAAACCCTCGGTGGAAAGATGGAAATTCACCCTTTTCTCAGTTTGTGATGTCATCTGTGCTCAGGTTTTCAAGAAACATGGTGCTCGTTGCTTTTTTAAGCTCAGCCTTTGTAAGTGGATAGTAAAACTCTCTCTAGGTCTTGATATTTGATAAAAAAGCACCATATTTTCATCTGGAACAAAGATTCCATGTGCAGCATCAGTTTAATATCACCTACTTATAATAAAGACTCAACGTGGTGTGAGTTAGGAATAAAAAGTAAACCCAACACATGTCATTGTGACTTTATGCCCCAAAATAGACCTTGGGTCATTCATTATGAGGGAAACCTGATCGGGATGCGTTTCCTCATTACTGCCGTTAGGGGGCAGCAAAAACCTGCAAGTGAAAAGTCACACTAAAACAATCAGTAGGGAAATGCAGAGACTCTTAAACTTAAGTCTAATTAAATGGGATTTTTACTTTCCAAAAATAAATCATTGTAAAATTTATTGGTGGTTTCACTCGAAACAAATAAATGAAACAAAGAAACATTTGTTTAAATGAAATGATTTTGATTTTGGTTGAGAATAAATACGAGAACAGGCTTTCACCCGAAAAAAATGTGCTAACTGCTTTAATAAATTAAAAGGGCAAAAGCATAAATAAACGTTTTCTCATTAGAAGAAGCTGACTTCTAAACATGTTGTTTTTGATTAAAATATTACTAATTTGACTTGATGTGTGAGTAATAATTACAGTCTAATAATCCCACGTCCATGTTCTCTGTCAGTTATAATCTGACCGAATCACCTCTGAACATTTACCTTAGATCAAGTGCTAGAAGCATTTTAACACTGTGAGATATTGAACTTTTACCCACAATCCTTCAGTTCATTTTTTCTTTATCTGATTGTGATTAGATCTGTTGTTCAGTGCAACACCAGTGGATAAACAACTGTTTAAAGTAAAAAAAGAAAAGAAAAGAAAAGAAAACATTGTTAGATTTAAGCAGCAGAACTTCTCAAATAATAACCACTGATGTGGCTCTCGGGTCGCTTTACTCATTGAATAAACTGAAAGGGGAAACTATATTTAATCTCCAAGGAAGATTGCAGTTTAGTTACAGATTTCAGATTTATTTCAGATTTATTGGCCAAGTAAAATTACATTTACAAGGGATTTGTCTTCGGTAGATGTTCGCTCTCTAAAACATACAACAACCATAATAAATGAGAATAAAAATACCTAAAAACACATAAGAACATGTATACCCACACACATGTTCATTTACGCACACACCTATATACATATATACATACCCACACACACACGCACGCACGCGCACACACACACACACACACACACACACACACACACACACACACACACACACACACATATCCATAAGCATACTGATTAAGTATTAAAAACTATAGTAAAAGGATGGTAAAATAATCTACAGATTCAGGAGAGAAATGGCTGAAGGAAAGAAACTGTTCTTGTGTCTGGTGGTTTTTGTGTACAGTGATCTATAGCGTTGAGACCATTATTACAACTGTTGTAATAATTGTTGTGCACCGACATCTCCTCAACACACTTCACTGAGACTTCAGGTCCAGTCATATCAGCCTTTAGAGGACCTAGAGCACTTAAAGGGTCATTAGAATTTATATTTTAACATTAATTCACTCCTATTGTTGATCTGAGGCATCATATAGCTACTGCTGATGCCAGACTTTGTTCTGTGAACTCATGGCTCCTGCTGCTGTAACTCAGGGTGTCTATCAGTGACTATCAGTCATGATGTGATAAATAAGAGACTTGAGGAAAATTCTAATTCAGTCTATATTTGGAGGCAATGGCACAGAAAAGGCCCTCTGGAACAATATTAGTCAGGTAAATTCAAGGGTTTTAGTAGAAAAAATACACAAACACACTCAATAAAACAAAATAAAGAAGGTTTTCTCAACTCAGAAACTGTTGATTGGATTTTACTGATAGAAGACAGTAGATATTTGTTATTAGGGTAAGATTTTAATTTTTAAATGGGTGTAAAACATTTACAAGTGTATAATTTAGTGCCAACATACCAATGCATTTATAGGTTCTAAAGGCATTTTGAAGCAAAAGAAAGATTTACCACATGATTTTAATAGAAAAGATGCTGGATGAAAATGGGGCTTTTATTAATAGTTTCTGACATTTCAATAGAATTTCTAGACAAATGATCAATTAACACACTGTAAACTTACATAATTAATTATATTTTATTATTTTCTTTCACTGTTCAGCCACTTTAAACTAAACAATGAAAGCCCGCAGCACAGATCCTATTATACGTCGTTGTGTCGCCTTTCAAGATGTTTTACAGCTTTACCGTCATGTTTGAACACAGCTCAAAGCAGGTAAGACTTCATGTTGCCCACCCTGTAACATGCTTTAGATTTATCTCTGGTGCTATTGGGTGTGAGTGTGAAACAGCTGGGATGAGAATCAGCTCCTCTAAATCTGAGACCATGGTCGGCAAAGGGTAGAATGCCTTCTCCCAGTCATGGACGTGGTCCTGGCCTAAGTGGATGAGTTTCTCTGGGTCTTGTTCACGAGGGAGGGAAAAACTGAGCAATATGGATTGATGCTGTGTCTGCAGTGATGCAGGCGCTGTACCGATCTGTTGTTGTGGAGAAAGAGCTGAGCAGGAAGGCAAAGCTCTCGATTTACCGGACGATCTACGTTCTTCACCTCTGGTCACGAGCTTTGGGAAGTGACAGAAAGAACGAGATCCCAGATACAAGCGGCTGAAATGAGTTTCCGCCGCAGGATGGCTGCGCTCTCCCTTAGAGATAGGATGAGAAGCTTGTCATCCAGGAGGGGCTTGGAGTAGACTCGCTGCTCCTCTACATTGAGAGGAGTCAGTTGAGGTGGCTCGGGCATCTGGCTAGGATGCCTCCTGGTGAGGTTTTCCAGGCATGTCCAACTGGGAGAAGACCTAAAGGAAGACCCAGGACATGCTGGAGGGACTATGTTTCTCGGCTGGCAAGGGAACGCCTTGGGATTCTCCTGGAGGAGCTGATCCAAGTGGCTGGGGAGAGGGAAGTCTGGGCCTCTCTGCTTAGGCTGCTGCCCCCACGACCCAACCCTGGAGAGGCAGCCGAAAATGGATGATCTGGTGCTGTTGGGACTCCTCACTCAATAATAAATATAGAAGCCATTGAATTTCCTAACTGTAACATGTGGTATTCATGGATCTTTAAATATGCTGTTTGGTTTTCCTCTGAAATACTTCTTCAAGGGTTATTTGCACAAACATTTGTGTCTGAATAACATTTTAATGTTAAGCAACCATTAGTCTCCAGCTCATCCAAGCATTTCCTCCTTTAACTTGTAACAAAAATATGTTAACATTCAAACGAGTGGTTAACATTAAGAACAGTACGATTGCAAACATGCCGCTGCATTAGCTAACTGCTGTCTACATAGGTTGCAGAGAGAGGGGGGTGGCTGATGGGTATTGGCTTTGGACCCTAAAGCTTGCGTCAACAATCAGGTGGCGGCTTTCAAAAGGAGCAAAGAAGAGCAAAGCCTTTTCTTCTTATCTGATAAGTTTTATTTACTTTATTTTAAAAGCAGGGTGTTAAACTCCTGGAGTAAAACTGCTAACATTTGTAGGATTTGTACTGAGCAGATCCAGCGTTGCTTCAGGTCTCCCTGGAGGCGAGCCGCTGTGTGAACGGCACATCTCAAATTAAAGCTGGTGCTGTTTAAATGAGTAGATGCTTGAAAAGTCAACCCTTAGAGGAACGAGTTTGCTCAAAGTTTTGGCTCCTAGGTGCTTCCTGGCAAACGTTCTGTGGGCAACTGTCTGAATCATTCGGAGTTCTGAGTGATTCATCGTTTTAAAAAGTGCTCCGTGTTTCAGGAAATTCTGTCCATGACTTAATAAAACTGCTGACTAAACCGAAAAAAAAGCTTCTTTTCAGTGCACTCGTCTCACTGATAAATGTCCTCGTAACCTATCTACTCATCTTTTATCTCTTCATTTTCTCCCTTGTGACACACGGAGGAATCAATAAAGAATAATTGATTCTACCTCGACTTAACTCTGCTTTATGAGACGAGCCTGCAGTATTTTCCACCTTGGGCTTGCGTCTGAGCCGTTCTGGGACGGAGGTTGTCGCCCGGTCGATCCCTGGTCCAAACTCAACTAAACTCTTAGATCAACTGGCATGACATCTGCTCACTGTGTTTATAATAAACAGTGTTGTTGCCACTCAGCTAAATCATCTGAAGTGCTGCGCTTAGCTGATGATCGACGTGCCAGTGACTTGCAGAGTAACTTCTAGCAAATGGAGTCACTATAGAAGTGTTGTTAAAGAGCAAGTCAACCCCTACCAGAGTCTAACTTCACTCCCACTTCATGTTTGAAAAATGCAACACATGCTGTTGCCTGGCAGACCGAGAGGGTGGAGCCGCTAACAAATACACACACACACACAGGCTCACGACAGCATTGTGACATCATAACGTACC